AATGAAACCTTGAATATATTGAATGAAGTCTGAATATATGGAATGAAACTTTGAATATATGGAATGAAACCTTGAATATATTGAATGAAACTTTGGATATATTGAATGAAATCTTGAATATATGGATTGAAACTTGACTGACGTCAGACTTCACCGCGGTGTCTGCGACCATCTTGTGTAACGTGTGGATGCTATAGCTAAAAGTGAGTGACAATGATTTAGTCCTCTCACAATCTCGTTGCAGCAATATTAAACTATGAGGACATCAGTAACACACTGGCGAATGCGTGTACGGCCCAAAATCCCCCCGATACTCCTGCCCAATGCCATTATTCTGACAAGGAAGGTCGCTTACTTTTTAATCGTGGCAGACCTACTACAACAGGCAGCTGTTTATCAGGCCAACCTCGGCATGTCTTCAACCTCACAGGAGTGCCCCACAACACCCCGTGTACAATCTCCACCCGTACACAAGGAGGGGTCCAAGACACTGTATGGTTAGCTTGATATAGTTTTCAGGTGATTTAATGAAGGTGAAACACAGTGAATGGCCGTGCGTAATGGCACTGCGCTCTGACGCGGCACTTCTCCGACACTGGCGAAGCTGCTGCGGCTAGAGGGACACACAGACAAATGCATAATGAGATAATGCCGACACGTTGAATATATGGAATGAAACTTGGAATATATACATTTGTCTGTGTGTCCGCAGACCGCGGTGTGAGTAACGTGCCCAAAGCTGTGTCGCGGATCATCAGATACGTTCAATACTAAACGAAATATTCAGCCTGCATTGGTCTATGAATGCGGGTGACTCTTATTGTATCTAAACAAATTATGAAGAGCTTCTCTTTCAGTTCACGAAATCCCTGTAGCCGCAGCAGCTTCGCCAGTGCCGGAGAAGTGCCGCGTCAGAGCGCAGTGCCATTACGCACGGCCATTCACTGTGTTTCACCTTCATTAAATCACCTGAAAACTATATCAAGCTAACCATACAATGTCTTGGACCCTTCCTTGTGTACGGGTGGAGATTGTAAACGGGGTGTTGTCGGGCACTCCTGTGAGGTTGAAGACATGCCGAGGTTGGCCTGATAAACAGCTGCCTGTTGTAGTAGGTCTGCCACGATTAAAAAGGGAGCGACCTTCCTTGTCAGTTGAACGGCATTGGGCAGGAGTATCGGGGGGATTTTGGGCCGTACACGCATTCGCCAGTGTGTTACTGATGTCCTCATAGTTTAATATTGCTGCAACGAGATTGTGAGAGGACTAACTCATTGTCACTCACTTTTAGCTACAGCATCCACACGTTACACAAGATGGCCGCAGACACCGCGGTGAAGTCTGACGTCAGTCAAGTTTCAATCCATATATTCAAGGTTCATTCTATATATTCAAAGTTTCATTCAATGTATTCAAAGTTTCATTCAATATATTCAACGGTTCATTCCATATATTCAGACTTCATTCAATATATTCAAAGGTTCATTCCATATACTCAGACTTCATTCCATATATTCAGACTTCATTCCATATATTCAAAAGTTTTGGGGTCAGCAGTAGCTCAGTCCATAAGGATTTGGCTTGGGAACCGGAGGGTGGCCGGTTCAAGTCCAGCATGGACCATAAGCATGGAAGGTGGACTGGTAGCTGGAGAGGTGCCAGTTCACCTCCTGGGCACTGCTGAGGTGCCCTTGAGCAAGGCACCCCCGCTTTTCCTGGGGGCTGCCCATCACTCTACCATCTCTCTCCAAAATATGCATGTCTTTGAGCCCTGCGGGATAGTGGGTTAATGCATGTATTAAAATGAAAAACATGAGTGTAAAAAGAATTTCAATTAAACTTAAACTTCCTTTCAATAAAGGAAGTTTAAGTTTAATTTCCTGAACATAATGCCATAATATATATATATATATATATATATTATCTCAGCAGCTGTCATAAGTGTTCAGAAGGATGCAGACTTAAGGAAAGAGCTGTCAGTCAACAGGACGAGGACACAAGTGTCTGCTGAGTGTGACCAGAACACCTCAAAGTCACCTCTCTCCTCAAAGACAGTAATGGACACACACAAACACAAGAGGGTGCTATTGCACTTAAGTTCACAGAGCTCAGCTCTCAAGCAGTTTGAAGTTATGAAGTTCACATTATACACAGTAACAGTGAAGATGAAAGTCTTTACTAAATCTAAAATGTCATAATTCAGAGGTGGTAAACTTGAACGTTGGGTGCTATAAATGTGAAAGAATAGAGCAGCAGTCTGACTGACAACTTCCACTGGTTTTCCAGGGACCGTTCTTACATAACTAAATTCCTCTTCGGCATAAGACACACACGTTTGTTGCTAAAAAGTTAAAATTTTGCAGGATCAGGTAATCAATCTTACATTTCTGTTACTTTTTCAGAGCAACATTGGTTTGGTTCATGTTAGCCAGTTTAAATTTTTTATTTGATTTAAACAAACCACCTTAGTCAAGCAATTCAATGGAGTTCTGAAAAAGTATTTTAATGCCATAGCAAGTGGAACACAACACACTTCACTGCTGCATTTTCCTGCTGCCAGACCTTTTAATATACAGTCTATGTGCCAGACAAAATGGGTGCCTTCAAATAATAATCAATAGTCAATTTTTTCTTAGGAATCTTCCTCACTGAGTGAGAGAGAGTACGCTAAATTTACTTTGACTTATTATCCGCTCACCACTATGCTGATGGAGGGGTGGATGAACTGTCCACCAAAACACTTTTGGAGTTTCAGGGGTAAACAGTGTTGCAGCAAAACCCATAGAACCCAATAGAAAGTAAATGGCAACCACAAAAACGTGATAGCTTAATTCTCGTGCTGATGTGAACTGATGTGAGTCCCCATGATCCTCTGTGCTCCTGATTTCTTCTCTTTCTCCTTTCCTAACTCCTTACAGCTTCTCCTTCACATCTTTCCCTGACCTTGTGATGTTTTCCATAGAACAGTGGAATCATGGTTAGGACAGATTATTATTTGGACTTTTCAAACACACCCAACGTCACATGGCGCCCATTTCCTCTGACATCACATACACAGATCTTTTAGATCCTATGAACAGTCTCTGAGCAGAGATGGTGCAGTTCGATGATTTTATTTTGTAAATGTAAGGTTTTACTTGTTGCTGTGAACATCAATACCCTTGTGTCCAATAAGCTGTGAGAGGGGACAGCAGGAGGAACTGCTCATTGCTCTGGAGCTCTCCTCATATGTGTTTCATCAGTGGGTAGTTGTCATGGAAATGCAGACGTTTAAATTACAGATCATCATATTTGGTATTTCTCTACAGCCCCAACAATAAAGCACAAAGTCACTGAGAGCGGTTTGTCAGAGGAGTTTATTTTTTCATTTATGTACAAGCGTGTCTGTCACCGAGGCGGAGACCGTCTGAGATATACAAAAGAGGAGAAAACGTATAAGGTGCAAAAAACACTGATGCATGCGTCTGTATCCCCCCCCCCTCCCCCCGCACCCCCCCTCTCCCACAAGCTACTGTATGTACAGCAGGTTCACATTGACTGACATCAGACATCCTGCTCGGTTACAAGCCTCGCCAAGTCGACGAGGAGTCACAACCAGCTAAACAATTTGCAGACACAAGTCCCCTACGCGCCCGTCTCCATGCTGACGTGCCGACTACTCTCTACAGCTCGCAGAGTGGTGGGGTTCTCATCTGAAGGCGGGAAAGGGACAGAACAATATGTACAAGACTGAGGAGCGGACGGCGCCCGCGTGCTGCACATAGCAATCAAAATGGCAGGAAAGCATAGGCAGTGGAGATAAAAGGATTTATCATAGAAAGCACCGTTGGCAAGTGATGAGTGTGTGTATGTGTATGTGGGCATGCCCTTGTACAGAAATCGTTGTGAGGACCATTTTGACCCTAGAACCTATGGAGAGAGGACATTTTTGCTGGTCCGCACTTTCAATGCGTGGTTTGAGGGTTAAGACTCGCTTTTAGGGCGAGGATAAGAATTAGGTTAAGTACAAGGTTGTGTGAGTCTAAGGAAGTCACAGTCTTCTGTAGAACACAATTGAGAGTTTACAGCAAGTATCCCTGTTTCAGTCAGTGTATTGTTAATGGGTTTGGAATGTGCCTTGGAGACATTTGAGCTCATGCATGCACGCACACGCACACGCACACACACACACACACACACACACACACACACACACACACACACACAGCAGAGCAGTGGTGTGATCACAGGAGATGGACTGGAGCTCAGAGGAGCAACTCGCCATGTCAGTTGAGGTTTCTAATTGTTTCCTATGGTGAGCGCCAAATCTAAGGGTGGCCACGCCCATTCCTGACCTGACCTGACCTGACCTTTCGACACACACACACACGCACGCACACACACACACACAGAGTTAGAATCCAATTGTCAAAATAAGGGAGTATTTGAAGAAGCACAATTACTCAAGGCGACTGTAAGACAGTGTAGTTAAAGCTACACTGGCTGATTATGAATGGAAACCACATGTTTTAGTGATTGGAAGTGAGACGTTAATCAATCTATTTACATTTGCTTTGTTTTAACAATGACATTCACAGCTGTCGTTTGCTAAAGCTGCAGCTACCGGCTAACTACTTTATAGGCAACTTGTTTTCATTGATCGGTTGAGGCTGCATCACAGTTCAGAGAGTTAAACTGTGTTTGAGACGGGATGGAGGAAGTTTCAAGCTATTAACTGAAAAACATACATCTAGCATCAGATAAAATGTCTTCTGAGCTACTTCTGACTAGAGGCGACGGTTTCATCTTGATGATAAAATCATCCGTTATCAGCCTTTCACAGATTTATCGATATAGAGCTCAACAGCGTGGTCATTTGCAATTGCAATGAACTTGGTGGAAGGTCCAGGAACTTTTTTCCCCCGCTTTCTTTAACTATGTGTGTTTTTCAATAAATATCCTTTATTTCTTGATGAAAAAACTAGGGAACTGATATCTATGAGTATAATTTGGTGCAGATCCAATTAAAATATCAATCTAGTGAATTTGAATGTGGTTTCATAAGGGGACTGTTAACTGAATAACGCTCTGGATAATTCTGCTTCTTGAAATACCCCTTTAGCCCAGAGCTGTGCCTTTATACTCAGCTGGTGTGTGTTACGATTATTCTGACCCTTAAAACATGACTTCTGTTTGCCACAATTTCAAAAAAAAAAAAAAAAATTAAATATATCAACATAAATAAACAAAGGGAAGCTAGTATTTCCTTTAAACATTTACAAATAAATACTTGGTTTTGACTTTTGACCTTTTTCAAGCCAAACTGCTGGAACAGATTCTGAATGGGAGAAAAAAACACAAGGTGTTTGCTTGAAAAAGAAAGTGCAGCAGACAACAAAGCACAACTTAGTTTACTAAGCATGCTCGATAGAAGGGTTGGAAAAGGTTGCTATGTCTGTATGCTGTGGTACTTACAGTATACTAAAAGCAGCCCCTCCTTTAGTTCATGTGAATGACTGTGTCCTCCTCAGCACTCACGGACTGTATTTTAAATAAATATATAGACAATATTTTTAAAAAGAAAAAACCAAAGGAATGAAAGAAAGGGTGATGTGAGAGGGTAAGCGGTTTATGTGCCGTTCTTCTGCTCCCATTCCTGCAAAACACAGAGAGAGACATGCTTAGTTTGTGGATATGATTGTTAATATGATTTTCAGAATCAATAAAATCAACCTCTATCAGTAACTTTAATCATCATCAAGTAAATTTAAATTGTTAACGTCTAATCAAAAAGTAAAAATAAAGGATAAATAGAACCAAGATTCTCAAAAAATGATTTTTGCCAAAACAAACAAGATAAAAAAAGAAAATCAACTAATGATTTACGGGGGAGTGAACGTCGACAAGAACATGTTTTTATTCCAATGAAAAAGAAATATCTCACTCTGCACTGCCAAACACACCTTGTCTCTCCAACCTCAAACATTACAAGCTGCTGCTGAACTGATCAGAAAAAGAAGAACTGTTTTATCCTTGAGGCTTCTGGAGGATATCAAGCCTTTTAAAGTCTAAAACACTGGTTTTAAAGTTAAGCTCTTTCTTTTTTTTTTGTCTACAACGCTTCTACAGACACAAACGCTGCTCTAGCCCCCATCCAGCTTGTGAGCTCTGACCTTGGCCTTCCTGAGGACGTGTCCCCGAACTGTGGGGGCCTTCTGACCGGCCGTCTGCCGGCGGAGCAGCGATGCGCTGTTGACCGGCAGGGAGCAGGACTCTGTGTCACTGGTGTCGCAGCTGGAGAAGGGAGACGACTCCTGTGTCCGTCGCAACATGGCCGGTGACTGTGCACACGCATAGGGAGAAGAGTTAGACGGTCAGTGGTGGTAGATACAAATTAAAAGCAACGCAAATGAACCACAAGAGACAGCGGAGGTGTTCTGACCTGGAGGCCAGAGGAGCCAGCTTTCGGTTCGATGGTGAGGCCCAGGGTGACCCCTCCGCTCAACGCCTTTTTCAGGCTCTCCTTCACCTCTGTCTGCTCCAGCTCCAGGTTCACCCTCTCCTCCTCCTTCTGCCGGCACTGCTCCTCCACCTTCTTCAGCCGCTCCGACAGGGAACCATGAGATCGTTTGCCTAATGGAGCAGGGAACATTTCAGAATCAGAATACCTTTATTGTCCCACAAACGGGGAAATATCACTTTTAAAAACTTTAACCCAGCAAGCTGTTTGAAGAGAGTTAAGAAATGGATTTATCATTTAAACATATACAACCGCACACATTAATAACACAAATTCAATTTCATTTTATGAAAAACATCGACTATAAATCTTCACTGCTGATAAACTAGATAGGATGATTTCACTCTGCACCGACTGTTTATGACAAGGAATAAATCTGAAGAAGCTCTGGAGCATTAACACAGGACAAAGAACAGAACATTGCAAACACACAGGTTTAGAACAGGCATTGTACAAGTTATCCTTGAAATGTTAATTTCCTGCTCTTTTAAATTTCCAGACACAACTGTTTTTAATGTGTGTGTCTCTCACCAGCAGCAGCCTCCACAGCTGTGCGCAGGTCTCTCCTCTCCTTCTTCAGCTGCGTCAGATGGTTCCTGATGTCCTGCTTCTTCTTCATCAGCTCGTCTTCCTTGGCCTGCAGCCGCTTGGCGTCTGCCTCCACGCGGTTCTTCCCGTACTTGCACTGCTCCGCGTCTGCACAACAACGAAAAAAATAATCAAGAACGTGAGTCTTCCTCAGAAGGCAACAGTCCTGGTTAATGTTATAGACTCAAAATTCCTCCTGTTCAACATATTTAGCCTGTTTAAGCTTTGGCTGAGGGGTAGAGCGGTCGTCCTCAGCAGTTTGACCCCTGTTCTTCCCCATCTGCATGCCGAAGTGTCCTTGGGCAAGATGCTGAACCCTGAATGGCCCCTCATGGAAAAAAAAGAGCTGTCTATAGATGCATGAATGTGTGTGTGAATGGGTGAATGGCAAACTGTACTGAAAAAATCTTCCAACCCAACAGAATTGCCATGTGAGTCAATCTAGAGGGGTAGTGAAGAAAAAAGAAAAGTTGTCTGACAGATTATCCAAACCAGTTTAACCTAAAGCTAAAGGACCTGAGATGTTTGCTTATAATCCCTTGATTGTCCAGGAGGTGATTCATGAAGTGACGTTCACCAGAGGACATTTTAATGATTGTGCTGGAGGTTTGAATAAAACCTGCCTGATCATTACCGATTGGTTTCTTTCTCCCGATGACTAGTTTTAGCGACATTTAGCTGAGCTGCCTGTTGTGAGCAACAGGATTACAGTACACTGGAGGCTTTATGTGCAATTACAGTTTGTTACCAACATCACAGTTGTGCAATTTTAAGTTTTACCTCCAAATTAAGTGGAAGCTAATGTGGGTACACTGCTTATTTACAGGCTGCGATGTGATGATGTGATGGTCTGACTACATGCTTATTGTGCAGGTGTTTTTTATAAATAAGTATAAAGTATGTGAAATTGCAACTACGTAAGGGAATGGAGACCACCTGTGTGACAGTGCATTGCCCATGACATCAGCATTCAGACATTTTCCATGACATCAAGAGGAAGAGATCAGAGCCTTTATTATCAGGACACTGGTGAGACCTGAACTGCCCAGAAACCCACTGAACCCACAGCCGCAGCCTCGAGCAGTCATGAATTACGCCAGGACCGTGTGTGTGTGTGTGTGTGTGTGTGTGAGAGAGAGAGAGAAGGATTTTGCTCATGGGGAATCACTCAATCAAACCACGCTGACATCTTCAAATTCAATACCCCTATTTGACACTGGAAACATGAGGTCTGTGTGGCGCACTTTAACTCCAACATGACACATGTTTAATTATTTCCATTCCGACATTTGGAGGAAGACAAGCTACACACGCGGTTTAAACCCTGCTCGTTCACACATTAGGCAAAAACAAAAAACTGTTTTCTACCGCAGGGTTTAACATGACCAAATTCACCCTCTACCAGTGAGGTGGGCCCCGTCTCTGCTATCGCGTCTGTTTGAGTGCGACCCCGGCGCTGGCAGGGGGCTCGAGTCTGGCTCGCGTGCGTCACCCGAATCATCTCAAGGGTAAGGATAGGTTTTTAGGTTTTCAAGTTATTCACCCCCTCCCTTACTTTAACCAACTGTAATTTGGACATCCTGCATTTTCCAAATTGCTGTGGAGCAGAGCTTTGCTAGAAAGCAATCAGTGGTGGTGAGGCTGAGTCTGGGGGAGCCAGACACACTGTCTGCTGCTCACTTACAGCACAGGAACTGACTGAGAGAGATGGACTGCTGTCAGAAGTTAGTATCTAAGAAAAAAACAGGGATTTAAGAAGAAATAACAACGTGACTGTCCTTGTTTTTACAGTCCACGTACGATAAACTCTTCACTTCCATAATGGAAATGATGCAGATTTGTGGACTTTTTTATTTCTCCCCACTTACTGGAGTTGTTGCGTTTCAGAGAGGCCGTCCCATTGGTCCCGTTGACTCCATTCTTCTTGGACTGGTTCTTTGCCTCCGCCTTCTGTTTTGATGCCACCCCATTGGTCGCTGCGCCCTTCTTTCCCTTAAACTGATTGGAGGAGAACAAGGAAGAAGGACACTTTTCAAATTACCTTTCAAATACGTCAAGACGGCGCAATACTGCACAAACAACATCTATGTAGATGTAGGCTACTTATTATCCTGAAAATGTTACCAAAAATCAACATATGAAATGTCTTCATATTAAATCCATATTTCTAATTAGAAGCTGAGTAAGACATCTTAATTCACAGCTACAGTTAATTATGGTGCATTCATGTGGTGAGGGAATGATCGGAAAAATGTGTTCTCCACTGGGAAGATTCACGTTAATGCCAAGTTGGAACAATTCAAAATAGTACTTTTAATTTGACTTGTCACTTTTATCCCTTTCAAACTGCATGTCCATCTCTCACAAGCCACTAACACCGCTTTTTAGCCAATAGAGATGATTTTATGAATAACATGCAAATCATCAGTAAATCAAATCATTTATATGCCTGTCACACATTCTCCTTTTTCTTTGCTCTTTGTTAATATGCACATATTGGAAAGAGGTGTCAGAGTTTTTTGCCTACAGCAGGATTAGCGATAGAGAAATGTTTAAATGTTGTGCTATGTTTATTCATCATTTAATTTCTATATATTTGGTGGCTTACATTATCTCAAATCTAGCTTTTATATCTCAGAGGCACATTTGAAAACAAGGATGAAATGTAAAATTGATTAAATACTTTATTTTATTAATTGTTCCTATTATTATTGTCTCGTCTTCATGTTGCCCTAAACCTGATCTGACTGTCATGATGCACGTGGCACACAGTTTGTCCTGCCGCCCGCTGTACACCTCGCTGGAATCAAAGTCAACTTCTTTTAGCTGAGCGGTACTTTGTGGTTGCAGAAGCTATGTTAACACCCCTCGGACATGCCACACATGGCACACACATCAAAGGTGTGGCGAGGAGGAGGCGGAGCTCCATACAACACCATGTGGTGGCTTATGAGGCTGTGGAGGCAAGGGTGGTACTTAGAGCGGGGCTGTAAAAATATAAATTACACACAGAGCCCATGTTCATTGTAAAGGGGAGGAAGGAAATACAATATGTGGGACAACTGCACACAGGCATGAACACATTTTATACTTTACTAGCATACTCAAACTATATGTTTAGACACAAATCAAGGAGCAATCTCTGGCTTTTATAGGGGAATTATTTCAGAACCGAACCTAAAAACTGTTTCATATAATACTGACACTAAATCAGAGATTGGTATCAGCTGTAAAAAGCTTGACTGAATCATCTCTAACTGAAGCACATGGTAAGGTCTTCCAAAGCCCCGTCACGGGAATGACTCTCAGGCCCTGTCATGGTTAGAATTCAATTTCTAAGAACCACACCAGAGGGGGAACACCATTCACAGGCTGATGGGAGAGGGAGGCAGACTTGTGGCTGGCCAACATCAACACCTTACCTAGTGAGTCAACACATGCTCTTGCAGGAAAGTTTACTCTATATCCTCTTTCCCGGCTCCACAAAGTTCATGAAGAGTGTTGGTGTAAAGGTCCAGACTTTTTAAAAGCCTTTAATGAGAGCTGCTACTGCAAATGACAAAGACTTGAAGTCTAGCAGCTGCAATATTAAATTCTTATTAATAATGGATTAAGAATTGATTTAGATCAAGTGACGGAGTTGAAGTGTCTCAGGGTCTTGTTTACAAGTGAGGGGAAGATGGACAGGCGGGTCGGTGCAGCATCAGCAGAAATGTGAGTGTTGTACAGGACTGATGTGGTGAAGGAGGAGCTGAGCCGCAGGCCAGAGCTTTTGATTTGTATCATATAATTTGTTGTGTTTGGATGGTTTTCATTTGCTTGTTGTCTTGGGTATTTTCTTTTCTTGTTGTCATGTGTCCCCTTTGTGAGGCACATTCCAGCATCATTATTGTTATTATTATAGATTGTATATAATCTGTATATTTTAAGGCTGGCTGAGCTTTTCCAAAATGATAACTTTTCCTAAACATTGTACTTTTTTTGTTAGCATAATGTCAGGACAGGAAATCAATAAAATCTTGAGCTGGAGATGTTAAATATTGCATGGGTCATAATTTCCCTTGTATCCAAACTGGATATTGATTATTACAGGTTACTTCTAACATGAACAACGATTAAGATGATTGTTGCTTTGAGAATTTCAGAAAGGTGAGTACAAGTAAATAAGAGTGGAAGCAGAAGAGGTTAGTGTGATGCAGCAGTTAGTCACCTGAGCAGTGGCTTTAGTTTTAGTATCAGCAGGGAGGAATTTAGAGGAGACTTTAGAAACAGGGGTTTTGTAGTGACCGGCAGATTTGGAGGTAGAGGAAGCAGGAGAGGAGGAAGGCTTGGGAGGATAGCGAGAGGCCAGCTTGGGTGAGGGCATGTTATCGTAGAGTTCAGCATTCTCATAGTGCATCTCCCCTTTCAGCTGGCGCCCTCCTGTGCTGGGACTGGAGTGCAGCGCCTCGGGGTCCTCGGGTGGGATCAGGCAAGTGTGCAAAGCCAGAGGAGAGGAGAAGTGGAGGTAGAGGAGAGGAAAGGAGGGGTAGAGGAGATGAGAGGTAGAGGAGAGGCAGAGGACAGAAGAGGTGAAACATTATATAACAGGAGGTAAAAAATATAAGGAAATAAGAGAAGCAGAGATGAAAGCAATATAGAGTTAGTTACACTAAACTGGTTAATTACATAGCAAAACAAGCATTTCTATAATATATGATGACTAAAGAGGAACTCTCTCTGTTATCCTAACCACTATTGTAAAATCCGCAATTGCATTATGGGAAATGTAGTTAGAATTATTAACACAAACAATGCTCTGGAGTTTGACACACACGTGACCTATAAAAGTCAGGCTTCTGTCTCTTACGCGTCGCCCAATGAGATGAAAGCACAATATTAAACCACAGGAGTTCCCCTTTAACTAGAGAAGCTACATGCATCACACGTTAATCAAAGTCATTTAGATGCTGGAAAAATGAATAAAACAATGAAAGATACTGGAAAAACTAAATAACTAATGACTATCACAAGAAAGCTTTAAAACTACTAAATGGCCCTTTTAACTTTTTGTCTGGTCTAAAGTCTAGTTCAAGTGTAGTTATTCTCACTTTGATTAATCTGATGTGTATTTAGTTCCCCACCGGGAAGATTCACTTTGACGCCACTTCAACTCGGAATAGCAAAATACTAGTTATTCTAACCAATGACAGCTATTCTAAAAATGATGTATATGTGCAGATAAGTGAAAAGCAGAAAGAAAGCAACACTTCCAGCAAGAATGTGAAGAAAACAACTCTATTTCAATTTTTTTTTCTATTTAAATATTTGGTCCCACACACAGCATGCAACATGCAAACATGGGGAAATTTGACCTCTGTATTCAACCCATCCGTGTGAACGGAGCACACGGAAAAACAATCCACACAGTGACCACACACGGAACAGTGGGCAGCCATGAAGGCGCCCGGGGACTTCCGTCCATGCTGGACTTGAACCGGCCACCCTCCGGTTCCCAAGCCAAGTCGCTATGGACTGAGCTACTGTCTCCCGAAGAGTGTATTGAGCTACGTCAGTTTTGTCAGTTTTTATTTGAGTCCCAATTCAGGGGCCACATCCTCCAGAGGCTGCATTTAAAGAAGGCGTCACTGCGACACCACTAGGCTGTCTCATTTCCAAATGAGGGCCTGAAGGATGCATTCCCTGAATTGGGACACGGCTGGGTTGAGTACCACCAGTGAGCAGATGTGTCCTTACCATTCCGTTAATGGGGACATCATCATAATGCAGAGCCATTCCAGTGGGACAGGCGTAGCCGTTGACTGGGTTGTCCAGGTACGGGTTAGGTGAGACAGCACGCTTACTGGTGAAACTGACAATACACCAAGGTTGATTAAAAAAAAAGAAAAAACCTGTGTCTCTTGAATATCCTCAGATTTGATGTCACAGAGCTCAAACCACCAATTAAACAAAGACAGTGTAAACGAACTTACAGCAGTAACATCACGTACTGAAAATAATGCTGTAAATGCACCTAATTACATCCACTCTCATTCTCCACATGAGATATATTTATATATTTTATTATTAAACAGAAAATGAAAAATTACTGGTCCACTGGTGTCCATTTAGTTCACTATGTTGTTTGAATTCTCTGTTTGCATAATTTGTTTTGTATCTTATTTTACATGTAATTTAAAAGGAGTGAGGGAAGTAAAGAATAACACATTTTCAATGATTTGGTCTTGAAATGAAGATGTGGAACAAACACATATCCTTCTCTTTACTGTTTCTTCTTTTCTTTATGTTTCTTATGGAATAATTTGTTGCTTTTAAATATTGTAGCACACAACATACCTTGTTAAGTCCTGCACCAAATAATAATGATGCACATTATTTCCTTCTTTGGAATCACTTTAGAGCATCCGAATAAATAATCTGAGATATATAATCTCAAAATAATCTGGTTCTGGATTATAATATTTGTCTCATTGGATCAGAAAACCCTGAATCCTAACCTTTACATCAAGGCTAAAAAGCATTGGATAATTTTAGCTACTCATGAGAAAAAAGTAAGAAAAAAATTGTGTCCCTTACCAGAAGGACTGCTTGGCCAGCTGGATGACGTTGGCGGTGGTCTCCACATCGATGTAGTCATAGTGCAGGGTGGCTGGGTCGGTGGTGGAACCAGTCTCGGCCAATAAAACCCCCAACCAGCGACCCATCTCCTCAGAGGAGGACGCCTGGAGGAATACAATTCAGTTTATATGATGTTTGAACATGTATGGAAGTTCTGATCATTTAAATGGCTGCACTCCAAATGGAGAAACAAAATGAGATGATGAGAGTCCGGGACATTTTATTCTTTGGAATCGTACATTAACATAATTTGTTGTAATCTAGAGCTCGTCTGGTTTGTTTTAAGAACCATCCATCAAAGGCTCAGTCACGATATGGTTTAACAAGAAAGACAAATAGATGCAAATGTCCAGCAGAGTATTGCGTGAGGGGGGGAATCAAAACAAAATGGCAAATAGAGGACTTTCGTATCCACCAAAAAAATCAAATACACAGACAAGTCACTTGTGCGGGAGATGTTTTACCACATGAGAGGAAGGCAAAGAACAAAGAGGAAAAAACGAGGAGCAGTGTTTGCTTGAAGCAGTGTGACTGCGTTTTGATGCCGTTTCAGGCATTTCTGCTTCATTCCCTGTTTAACAGTGGAGTTTCAGCAGTCAACTTAACCACATGAGAGTGATTCCCAGGACAAATCTTACCTCCAGCACTGCCACCTCTTGGCTGTTGCGGAGCAGGCGGAAGGCGAAGGGGTGTTTGTGGTCCAGGCCAGGGCTGACTTCGCAGCCACGCAGCGGCAGAGAGGCGATGTGGCTCTTCAGGTCGTCCCGGTCCTTGTGGAGGAGCAGCTGGTTGTCTTTCAGGCGGCACCAGCGCTCCCGCCAGCGGTTGTTGGACAACACGTTCAGGTAGCCTGTCAATCCAAGAGCATAGAAACTTTTGAGACAAGCAAATTGAATAATATTTTCTATGGCAGACCAAAACTCCTGCACTTCTGAGCCTTTACCTCCAGAGCATGTGGACCAGAGTGCTAATTTTGTCCAGACACCTCCCGCACTCTGAGCTATCAACCAAACCCACTCAGATAAAGCATTGGTACACGAGCTGGGTTGGGTGCTTCTCCCTCTTTTGTCATGTGACAGGACCTTTTCCACTGGCTTTGTATTGTGTGTTCTCATTTTTATTAAATTTGGTTGTAGTCACTTAATTGCCTGATGGATGTGTGAGTACTGCTGACTACACACACATTGTGGATAATAGATGGAGATATCCTTGATCCTTGAAAGCCCATTGTACAGTACAAAACATGCAGGTAGTGTCCTACCACATACTAATGAATTCTGAAAGGTGCTAATGACGCACTTAATTCACAAGGGGAATACACAAATTGTAGGAAAAGTCCAGTACAGACTCTACAAGATTCAAGGTAATTACCACAACACAGCCTCTCAAAAGTTTAATAGAAATACAACCCCGTGGTTCTGTGCCTCCACCAAACAGTGAGGTTTCAGTCTAAATTTAAGACATTCCCAAAAGGCAGACTTGAGATATCAAGTCTGCGTCTGTTCAAGAGTCTAAATAAATGTTTGTACCAACATTGAAGAGATTTTGCATGTAATTGTAAGGTCATAGTGACTTTGACCTTAGACCAATTTTAGCATCCAAGTGAACGTTTTTGAAAGGATTTTATTGAAGTGATCCTGAGATATCATGTTCACGAGGCCAAAGGTTAGCTTTATGAGATCTTGACAAAAAACACATTTTGTTCACTTTTGAGTCCAACTGAATGTTTGCAACAATTCCCTCAATGTGTTCTGGAGATAACATGTTTAAAAGAATGTGATCAATGATAAAACGCCTCTAGCCAATGGGTGTCTCCTTAAGCATTAAGGACATAACTTAATGTCTTCCTCTTACCACATGTGGGTACGTCTTCCTCTGCCGATGAGGTCTGCTCATCTGTCGATGGCTTCTTCTTCCCCAGGCCGATGATCTTGGTGATCTTCTTCCCTGCACCCTTCCCCACCGTCCCTGTCTTGTGCTCCGACTTAGAGTTCTTCTTCCCTTTTCCTAAAACACAGAGACAGAGATTGTGGATTTAACTAATGACTCAAGTAGGGGAAATTAGTAAAACACTGATGTGTTCTCCAAAGGACTCCCGCAGACTTAATGTGCCTCACCATCATTATCTAAACAGGGGAAATTGGCGAGGGAGATGTTACAAGGCCATTTTTGCTGATTGAATTATGTTTGGATGCTTTTGCGATGCTGTAATAAAGAAAGGAGAGGAAGAAAGAGCAACCTTAGATTCTACTATAAACAACCATGAGTTCAGGAATCACTTGCACTGGGTTTAATCAGACCCTTGTGGGTTCAAAGGCTCTTTGTTGGGGGATTAGGCTCGGTCTGCAATCCCAGCATCCTCCACTGCTCCTCTGGGCTGGCCTAGTTTCCATCCAGAGAGAAAGAAAGTGATAGGAATGACAGTGCACATTTTGCTGGAGGGAGGGCTAAAGTCAAGTAATCCAGGTCTTAAGAGGTTATGTCTGAGTCCCTACATCTGTCTGTCTGTTTAAAAGGGGAAAATAGCTTCTGCTTGGCTCACTGTTTTTAGATACTGTGGTCTGCGGTGCATTTGAATGTGTGTGTGTGTGTGTGTGTGTGTGTGTGTGTGTGTGTGTGTGTGTGTGTGTATGTGTGTGTTAGAGAGAAAGAAGTAGAAAGCAGTTGTCAAAAATTGTGACAGGAAAAAAAAAGATCTCAAACGCCAGATTTTGACCCAAAAGAGACAGTGGAGAAGAACTGGGGGAGAAAAATACAAAGCATTCCCCTCCACTGATGTCATCATGCCGAGACGCTAAAGCTGAGTGTCTGGAACGATTCTACACGCACACATGCACACAAAGTGATATACTGTATATAATCAGAGCTGATTTGAACTGTCATAGTGTCTCTGTCTTGCACAAATCAGCTCTTAGCAGAAGTGAACTAATAAACAGCAATCTGGTGTGATACGCTAATGACAGAAACTCTTTGTATTCAATTGTTTTTGGCCCTCGTAGCTTCTGTTCCTAAATTTTTTCCGTATTGCGTTTGCCTTCCCCGATATGATGTGACAACTGCCATGGCGATGGCCTTAATTAAATAGGAAGCCCGTCTGTGCTCAATTTCAGTCGCAGGGCTTTTCTCGTAAGGCAAAAAAAAAAAAAAAGTACACAAACACACGTCACACACACAACGCAGGCCTAAGGTGGAAAGCAGACACACAGATGTGAAAGCGATTCACAACCTTAAAAAAAAGGAGGAATTACTATTTTTCTCTTCAGGAGACAAGTAGCAGGTAAATTTGATTCCAGTAAATCTGCACTTTATGTTACCAGCCTTGGAAAGAATGTGGCTGATGAAGCTGAGGCGGAGGATGAACGAGGGAATGACTGAAAGACGAGGAGAACGGTGAAGTGATATCTGTGATAGATCTGATGTCTTTACTTGTTGATGGTACCACAAATGAACTGAAGAATGAAACTTGGGCGCTCATCAGTCGACCCGAGGTAAAGAACACTAGCATTAGTAGCTAACACTTCATATTATTCAATTCAATTTTATTCTTATAGCGCTAAATCATAATGAACATTATCTCAAGGCACTTTACATAGAAGGTCAGGACCTTCAAATCGTTTTAATATAGAGAAACCTAACAGTTCCCACAATGAGCAGCACTTTGGCGACTCCCTCATTAACAGAACCAGGCTCCATGTGGGCGGTCATCTGCCTCGACCGGTTGGGGTGAGCAAAGAAAAAGGGGGAGGAGAGGAGAGATGGGKGGAAAAGAGGGGAGAGAAGAGAGAGTGATAGTGGGGAGGGGGCGGTAGGGGAGAGAGAGAGGCGAGAAAGACCGGGAACACTTGAGCACCATCAGGTATCGGATCTGACTAGTTAAAATGTAAACAACAATGTAAAGACTGTTAATTATTATTGATAACAGGCACCATTAATATCATAATTAATTACTCAAATATTGTACTTAATAATAATAATAATAATGATGGTAAAAGTTATAATTTAACTCACATGTTAAATTTGGTGGTGTTTAAAATACCAGATTGTGACAATAAGAGTTGGCCAGTCTGCAGCGTTTTCCTTCCATCCCAGTAACTAAAGGCTCGAATCGGTGGATCCTTAGAACCATTTTCTGATGAGGGTATGGCTCCAGTAACGATGGGATGTCCGATGCTTGAGTATCATGGCTCAACTCAACCGAACACTTATTGGTGCACATACTACGCGTTAGCAATAATAGTTTTCACACTAACTCTGGTTCAGTCAGGAACTCTTTGTCCTGATTTACCCGTTTATTGCACAGTGGGGATACAGTTATGATTGGCGCTGAAGGCTCCATTCTTTGGATGTTCCCTGGGTTAGCCACGCAGCATGCTAAGATAAAACAGGGAACATGTGCAGAACCCCCGGTGGGCATAGCAGGCAAGATACATTTGTTCAAGATGAATATCGTTTACCACGAACATGTTTGGACTCAGCGCTTAAAGGTGGAGGCTGCAGTGGTGGAGGCAAGTTGCCGGGAGCAGAGCATGCGTGGCAGTGTAACTGAGCAGGGATCGGGGAGGATGAGGTCATATCCGCTTTGCTGAGAGTGTACTGTGATTGGTAGGTGGCTGACGAGCACCCATAAGTCAGTAGCTGACAGCTTATGACAGCTGAGCACATGACTCCTGCATGAACTAACGCGATGCTTCTTTTTTGATACAGATTAAATGAAGGACATATAACGTGTTAATCAGAGGTGCTGGTAGGAAGATTTTGTTACCTTTAGACATTTTCCCGTCTTAGGGTATAAACTCAGCTTATTGGCTAACAGCTAGAGTGTTATCAGTCTCTTTATTTAATATCTAACTCTCATCTAAGAAGAACATTTCACTAAATTAACTATTCCTGTATTTTTCACCACGTAGCCATAGCAATAAGGAAACAATATTTTACCAATGACAGTTATCATGATTTTTGTGTAATCTGAGCTTGGCTGAGACAACATCAGACCGGAGAATAATAACCATCGGTAATGGAAAGACAAATAGATAAAGTGATTCACTTTAAAGCCAAAAGACATATTTCTAAAAATCCTCCAAATCATAAGCAGCAGGTGAAAGTTCAATCTGAGGTTGTGCAGCTCCAGCACAACCAGAACTAATGACAGAAATACGTTTTAGTCCCAGCATCAGTAAATGTGTCTTTACTCTGGAACCTGCATCAGCTATAAAAGGTTAAAATACCACACAACTTTTGCGTCACTTCTTTCTTAGTCCCTCTCTGAAGATGCTGTATACACACACTGGGAGGATGAGAAAGCCAACTAACTTCACACTGAATCATGTGTCCATATATTTCCAGGCCAGACAGGTTCATGCTGCAGTAACCAACCAATTCATATGCCTGCATGAACACACGTGGGAGATCATGGCGGATCCTCTTTCTACCCTCCCTATCGTTTCATCATGACTTAAGCATATCCATGAATCACAGCTCTGTGCTGCCTCCATAAAAACAAAACTGGGTTGGAGATTTGAAATTAACAGCTGGTGGGAAATCTGTTTCAGACATAATGTTGGAAAAATGAACCAATCTCACCAAGGAGAAAAAAATATGTGTTAAATTTTAGTTGACAATGCAAATAACAGAGCTGACAAGTAAAATGAAATTCATCTCCCCGAGGAAATTCGTCTGCTGAGCAAACAAACGGTAAATTATCAGAAACGTTTTCACCCGAATCTCTTTGCTTTGGCATGGAGTTCTTCTGGGGAAGACCAACTCTGTGTAAAACCATGTTAAATAAATCCAAATGCTCGTTTTTCATGCCTCATGCGTTATTGTTAAAGGCTGGCCTTTTCAGCGCTCCTCTGACTTATGAGACAGAAGAAGAGGGAAAGACATCAGTATCAGGGTTTTAGAAACTGGGTCCAAGTTGAGGGTGATTATTTTGTTGGTTCCAAGAAACAACAACTGATAATTTTGTAGACTTCATTTAACTTTACATTTTGTTTTGTTTAGTGCTTAAGTCATACAATTAATGGTGCTGCACGAAAGTAGTGTTTTAGGATGGGGATTTAATTCTGAAAACACCACAACCACTCACAGATGTTGGAACATCACACGAGCGTGATACAAATCCCGACCCCCCTTTGTCTGTCTGCAATTTCCAGGTAAAACAGGCTGTCGGGCTCTTCGTAATGGATTTGATTTTTTTTTTTATTCCTGGATGCTTTCACATTAATAAACCTTGGCAAATAGGAAGGGAGGTGAGATTCTACATACAATAGGTTACATTTGTGATTAACTAATATCATTGAAGTTTTCAGACAAGAAACACTCTGAAATAAAGGAGGTGGCAGACTTGCCATTTTTATCAACAGATAACGGAAATTGTCAAATCACTGCAAAGCAGGGATGGGGGTTATGGAGGGTGTCTGGCTGCCAGCTGTATATGGCCCAGGAGACAATTCATGAATACAAAAATAGCAACTCGGATCAGAAATACTAAAAAAGTCTCCTGACAACCATATATTTTATTCCTGACTGAAAATAAAAGCTGTCGAGAAACAAGTCGAGAAGCAGGGTGGTCCCTCCAGATGTATGCCTGTCAGCTCCATACAGTAGAGTGTGTATAAAGATGGACGACTTGACGGCTCCCTAAAAGTGAAGCCAAAGTGTCCTGATCGCCACCTAGTGGCTGATTACAGTATAGGTCACGTACCATTCCTTTTCATATTGGCAGATGGGGCAAGGGCCAAAGTACGCCTTAAAAAATATATTCCAAAGATGATCATTTAAGGCTGAGGTTTGTTCAAGCGTTCAAGTTTGGCTTTAATTAGTGATGTGATGCTATAAAATCGGACTGAAACGTCAGGATTGACAGTTGAGACTGACTCATGATACCGCAATCACTACTGCAGCGACCCAGATTACATCATTGATGCGAGATGATATTTTGGCCTGATTTCTGATAAGTGGAAGGAAGAAGAGTCCTGTCATCCATCTTTATTTCCAGCCTATGCTCAGGTCACGGTCAGTGTTTGTGTCAGATAACCATAGCTGTTACGTGTCATCGCTGACGAGCATCACGGCAACTGTCAAGGCAAGGAAATGCAGAATGTCGCACTTTCCAAGACAAATACACAGACTATTGTTTTTTTGTTGAAGTAGGGTTAGGGTTAGGGTTGCTGGATGTAAATGAACGTTTCATTATCTTGGCAACAGATGTTTCATTTCCAAGAAAAAAAGGTTACAGATCATTTGGTTGTTGTTGCTGGCGAGTCTCACCTTGGTCCTTGCAGTCGCTGTGTCCGTTCTCGTGGGCCGCCTCTCCGTCGGAGCTCGGCCTGTCACAGGACGCCTTCTGGCCACAGGAAGACCGCGCAGAAAAAAAAGAACAGATACACAAAAAGGTACAAAAGGGATCAAAACTGTGCATTTCTTGAAAAAAATAAACAGGTCGGCCAGGACATAAACACACAAACAAAGCTGTCTGCTTTGTAAAAAAATAAATCCCTGAAGAGCATCTGCAACATGTTATAGATGAATAATTAGGCTGGGCTTTAGTCTGCTGTGCCAAGCTGGGAACCTCTGATGTGGCTCATTTTCCACCACTAAACACACATAGCTACATTTACACATATGTGCTGGGCACAGTACGTCTCTGGCATTAACCTCTATTTTACCTGCTTATCCAGAAGAAAACCAATAAAGCAGTTTTCCCTTCAGTGCCCGACATTTTACCTTTTAATGTTATTTAGCAAACAGCGTTTTACTGCCCAGTGTGAGTGTGTTTGATTACACCATAAAAAGAGGTCCCTATGGAATCAAGATATATTTACACTTTTTTGTCCATTCCAGCATATTCCACCCAGAGTCATTAAGACAACAATCAACAATAATTTAGGAGGGATCAAAGTGGTTGGGATTTCACAGCTCTTTATCAAATCCTGATTTACTGTGGTTTACAGTAACAATTCTACAAATATCCATCTGTAATATGTGTTGAATTAAGTTTATTATAGTGAAAAACACACGATTATCAGCTCTGAGTTACATTAGCCCTTGGACCATTTAAGCATCTTTCAGCTTATTATTTAGGTTTTACAAACCTAAAATTGATCCATTTTATTTCAGTCTCACTGCTCCTATCAACTCTTATTTGTCAGCACCAATAGGCAGAGCTCTTATAAACCCACTCTACACTGCCCACCCATCATTAAATGACAGACAGACATAGCTAGGAGTTGGAGGAGACCAAAAACAAACTTAAAGAATTGTAATCCTCCATTTACATTCTTCATGGGACACATTCACACGTGCTAATGTGTAAAAAGAAAATGCAAAGGTGTTAATATATTAATATTATACTTGTTTTGCCGCCCTGAAGTGGTCGAAAAAATGATTTGATCAATCCAGTCACAAGAGTAAGGAGTTATTACGAGCTGGATATAGTACAGAATGTCGATCACACACAGATCCTCACAGACACTGACAACTAAGCCAGAGAAAATTCACAGTGACACCTACATTTCTGGCTCCATGGATGCATGGAATGTAAGTATAAATATATATATGAATAATGAATATAAGTGTATAAAGATGGTGCTGGTAATAATAATATCAGTGTATTACCTTTTCCAGTTCAGGTCTGTGCACAGGCGATCCAGATCCAGCTCCATCTAAGTCTACACTTCCATTAACACAGACCTCTCGCATCACCTAGAAGACATAAAGAAATACAGCGTTGGTTAACAAGGCTGCCGTTCACATTAAACAAGTGGAAAGTCGACACATGCTGATCACCATCGAGGGATTTCAATTTATATGCAGCCACAGCGGTGGAATGCGAGGTCCACACCATGATCCGAACACATGGGTGGATCCTTTATTTAGAAATCCTAAAATATTTCCTCACACCGTTGCCACATAATTAAGCAGCTCATTCCTTCAGCCTAGACGGCATGCCTGGGGTAATGTAGGCCACATGTATGGTGAACTCCCTCCTCTCTCATATTCCATCATGCTACTGAACTGCAGCCAAGGGATCATGAGGCAATGCAGCCCATGCAGTGAATGACCAAGAGGGGGAAAAGAGCGCGCATGCATGTGTGGCAGGGGCTGGTGGAGGGGTGGGGGTGTCTGCTACACACATTAGACACCACAGTTTTACTACGTCCGCGCAATCCTTATGCAATAAGGTCCACTAGGGGTGAATGAGATCTGCAGGGCTCTGGACCTGGGCGCCAGTGTGCATTACTGTGACCTCGTTGGACTTCAGACCTGGCAACCCACCGTCAGATCTGGCAGTCCCAGGCATGTGGCGGTGACGGGTGTGTGTAGATGAGGCGGGCAGAGGGAAATGAGATTTCAGATTAACCGCTATATACGCAAGTCAGCTAATGCACTCTGACACACACACACACACACACACACACACACACACACACACACACACACACACTCACACACACACACACACACACACACACACACACACACAGAGTATGATGTTGATTCTATTAACCTGCAAAGCACACACCCTCAGAAACAGAGTAGACAAGTGATAAGGCTGCGTATATAATCCCTTCCAATTAAAGAGCAAGAGACATGTAGCCTTCAAGAGTTTCTAATTAACAACATTTCAGTGCACAAGGTGCTGCCGCTCAGCTCATAGTTCATTATCGACCAGGAAAATATGTGACACTGACAAGCGAGATACACTACGTCTGCACTGTCATGTAGAGATACCCTAAAAAGATCATCAGTAATTAACAGCCTGCACATTTTTGGAGTTAAACTTTTGTTTCAGTTTTCTTTTTCCTTATTTACCAATGAAACCAAGTCAGACTGAATATGCAAAATGCAACAGTGCATTTGTCATTTCTCTGCAGTTAGTNACACACACACACACACACACACACAGATTTTCCCCCTCGTCTTTTCCACAAGCATTCTGAACCATCTCTGGCCGTGTAGAGCTCCTCAGCTCATTGGTTTTGGCTTGGAGAGAGCATAATTGGGTTTCGCGAGGAAAATGACAGGCTGTGGCTCCAAGGGTTTGGCTCGGAGAGCAGCTCAGAGGCCAGAGAGCAGGACAGACAGCAACATTATGTGTACCATCCACTGGAGATCTGAGTCGCCAGACTGAGGTGCGTGTGATGATACAGAACACGTCAGTGGAGGTAGTGTGCTTCGGCTTTGGGTGCTTTGACATGTTGCTGCTGTACACTGTAGGTTTGAGGTGGTTTTATTAGTTTTACATATGCACGTGCCAGGACCGCACATTTCTATACACTGAGCTATTTTAACCATACTAAGTAATAAGTGTAATCTGAAAACTTTATATGATCCAGTAACTGGAAATCTGTGTAGTTTAAATACATATTAAATGCCTTTACTCACTTGGGATATATAGTTTAAAAAAAACACAGAAAAAACTTTCACCAATATTTATGGCTTTACTTTTCTGACAACATATAATAGGGCTTTTTATTGAAGGAAGTTTTGATCATTTCCATAAAAATGACATAAACTCATTCTCCATGCTTTGTGGGCTCAAAGCAATTTGCCTTCGGCAACACATGCCATACAACATTGATGCATTCTTTTTTTTTATTTGTTACTTTTATATTTTGAATGTGGAAGAATGTTTATGTGGTTTGTGTTGCAGAATGCATGCCTGAGCAGCGACATTATTTACAATCATTTTCAAAGAAAACTACATTGAAGGGCCTTAAATTGTATTTTTAGTCTTTGATTTTCTGGGAATCTTGTTTTTTAATGATTCTATGATTGTGCATTTGATGTGTTGATTAGATCACCAACAGTAGGTCTGATAGAAAGTGATGGGAGATGGATGCAGGTGATGCACAGCAGTTTTCAGGTCAGGTGACGCAACATGACTGAGAGATAGGCGCGAATGATGATGCAACCAATGAGTCTGTGCTTTCTCCTTAAAGACTGGAAAAGAAGAGGAAAGCTTAAATGCATTTAAAAAACATAAAGCATGTTAAAGTTCAGGGAAACGCCCCATCCATTGCTTGTAAACACAACTCAGAGAAACACACAGTCAGGCGTTTGCACTGTCTGTGGAGAATCAATCAAATTCAATCAAATGTATTAATATAACATGGTATCACAACAAAATCCAACTTGTTCCAGACCGAGCAAGCATGAGCAACAGTGGGGGGGGGGGGCACCCACCTTTGATTAGAGAGTGCTAACCTTTTCAAATATATGTGATTGTCATGACACTGACAGTTGATTCTACTTCAGCACTGATCCTGAAAGGTCCAAGACGGTTCAAACACTGGGTGGTGTTTTGGACCGTCTTCAACCCATGAATTTGTTTTCTGCTAAAAATACCAAGATGGTGACATGCACATGATGAACAAACAGTGCTCAGCAGTTTGCAGCAGACTGCACTGTTTCAAATACCAACAATCCCTAGTGCATTAGGGACTGTTGGTATTTGAATGGACACTTAAAAGGGATTAAGGTGAGAATAACGGTGAACCTACTTTCCACAAACTTGCAAGCAGACGGAAAGAAAGAGAAGTTAGGAGGACTGATATAACATTAGTCTGCCAGCAAGTCAGGTCAAACTTTAGCATGACGCAAAGGAAAGAAATGCAAACAATTACAAAGAAAAGATCTGGGAGGGGTTAAGGAGAATGAAGGACAGAACTTGAACATATGTTCTATAAACACATCATTAGTGGACAATGTCTGGAAGAATCATTACTACATGTATAACCACTCGGTTTTGGATAGCCTCAGGTACTCTCCAAGCTTTGCCTTCACCCTACTTTCTTCACTTCCTTTTATTGCTTGCTTCCAGTTACTTCCATTGTTCTCGCACTCTCATGTAACGCTTCCTCTTCCTGTCCTGCACCTCATTCAGCTAAATGCCATTTTCACAAGGCTTCATTTTCGTCATGAGGACGCACCGTTGAGAAATGGCAAATGCTGAAAGAATCGCCAATAAGAAATGCAAGAAAGGCTGTTATTGAAGTTTTATGCCTGTGGCAAAAAGATGAATATAAGAGAAGAGGGACAGAGGAAAAACAGGTCGAGAGAAAAGAAAAGAATTAAGTGAGAGGAATAATGAATAAATGAGTGACAGCTTGATTCACAGCGGTCCTAGCAACGCAATATCCAAACACGGACACAAAGACGAGCTGATCTTTCTGGCTGGACACCACTGAAACACACCCTGAGGTTAGAAAACGCAGAGCGAGCCAGGCAATCCAAGCCTCCATCATTCTGCTGCTGATGACACGAACACAACACATGGACTTTAAATCCAGAGCTGTTTTGCAAAGGAGGGTGTTAGCGCAGAACTTTGGCCAAGTGGATGAGATGAGTGCTGAGTGCAGCAGAATGACGAACTGCATGTGCATTGATTGAGCAAACATAAACTCTTCACTGGCTGCCACAATGTTATCGGTTCAGTATGTCTACAATTTCCAGGCACCTGACTAAATATGCTCGCTTGTCCCAGTTTTCTCCGGGCAACAATAAGTGTGGCCATTGCCATAGTTTGGGTGGTACTGACATTTGTATATTTTCACGGGTCTGGTTGCGAATGCCTGCAGATACCTGCCTCAGTCAATCAATAAACAACGGCTAATTACTGTAATCGAATCAGGAAGAAAAACACAAACTGTTTTAATCTTTGTTTCCTCGCAGCCATGAACATGAAATGGTTGAAACTTCAAGAAAAAGACAGAAAGCAAACACTGAAAAGAACTAAAATGGTACTAAGCAGAGCGCAAACCAAAGGTCCCCTTAGAGGGGAATTAAAGTGTTTTCCAACATGGAGCATATGGTTTTAAATGTGCTTGTGTAAACAAATAGTACCAACAAAAATGTTTAGATGAGGCCCATCATATCATCTCTGCTGGCAGCCGTGACGCAGTGAGTACAATGTAATCCTGTGGGGCAACTGCGACAGTCCATGAAATTTCCACTAAAGGAGTTTTTTCTGCAAAAAAAATGCTCAAACTTTTATTCTAGAAATCAGTGGGATCAAGATCCACTAATTATTCCGTAGGTGAAAATGTCCCTTACTCGCAAATTTAAAGAAAGTGAAAACAAATCCGGGATCTTCCCCCTGATCTGGATCCATACAAACATTTAACGGGTTCTTCCCTGACCAATACCACATCCACCAAGTTTCACTGGAATCCATCCAGTTGTTTTTGTGTAATCTTGCTTACAAACAATCCAAGCAACAAACGGACAGGGGTGAAACATAACCACATTGGCGGAGCTAAAGAGACCTTTGTTTCCATCGGTGGTCTGCAGGGCAAAAATTTGCTCCACACTACATTTTTTAACAAGGCCTTTGGTGAGGATGAAAAAGAAGTCCAATAGCCTGGTAGTATAACTGCAGCACTAGGGAATAAAGTTGGCAAAAGTTGGAGGTACAAATAATTACAAAAATACCGCCGCACAAATGGGCAAGGAGGAATCTTAAAAATAGCACACAATACACAGTCGAGGACAAACAAGGAATTCCAGGAGATCCTCAGGAGAAATGAAGGAGTGCAGAGGTGAGGAGGAAAGAGTTAGGGGGGCCGAGGGGGTTTTTCCTAAAAAATCCAAAGACCAGATGAGGCCCGTTTTTTTTCTTCCTGCAATTGAAAGAGAAAAGAGTCCCAGAGGTGTTTGCACCGTACTGACAACAAATAGACGCGGGGTTTGAAAAGCAGAAAGTAGAGGGGGTCTGTTTGATGCCGACGGGGGTGGGTTTGTTTTGTGGCCTTGTCGAAGACGCCCGGAGGGAAAGATCAGAGAGCGATGAGAGAAGATGATGGGGGGGTGAGGGTAAAGGGGGATGAGAGATAGAGGAAAGCGATGAGGGTAGGGACGATAAAGCAAACATCTTCACATCAGAGTGAAACAGATTTTCATAACAAACCACTGGTCATACAATATCAGGAAAAGGCCCATCCGGAGGATCTGAAGCTCAGTTATTCTTGAACAGAGCTACACCCTTTATTCTACAATGCTGTTAGAAGAATGGAGGCGACAGAGCATCTAAATTTATCTCACTGACAACAATATTCAAAATGAAACCTGAAGGCAGACCCGGAGACTTTCACCCCCATCTGAACTCGTCCACTACGGTCTCTGCTGTGCACCGCCAACGCTGGTATACAGCAGCTTTTACTTTGTTTGACAGCTCTCTACTTTGTGCAGTGAACCACATGAGGCTGTGGTTCAAAGGCAGTTTGGGTTTAGGCCTCTTCACTGCTCTGCAATCATGCGTGCTGGTGACATTTGACACGGGAGAAACAATATCAATATAAATATTCATATTCAAATTGTGGTAAAATTAACATGTGATGCAGTTGAGGCCTCAGTCCATCAAAAATAAGAGTTAATTCTAATTTCACCTCTGCATTATTTGGTCCAGTACAACCTTTTGTTGGAAAAGGGTAGAAATTATTCCACTGCAGGAACTCTGTGTTCCACTGCTGTGACAAGGGTCTAACTTGTGTTTAATTATAATCTTTTTACTGCCCCAAAAAGTCCCTAATCAAGGGGCAGTACTTTGCCAATCCACGGAAACCTTTTGATGTGTGGGATCTTCTGAATCGGGGGCCATAAAGGGGCCACAATTCACACAGAGGGGCCAATTACTGTATATGTCCAACATCCATGTACAATTCCTGATTCAGTACAGTGCACATTTAAGTCATTCCTCGTTTACTGTTAGCTTTGTAGCTTTGTAGCTATTAGCAAGGACACATTATCTTCAAGCACATTTTGTAAGTTTGATGGTTGAGTACATTTTATTTCAGCGGGTAAATCTCTACGAAAACACGTCAAATTTGTTTCCATATCTGACATTTCTGGGGTTTTGTCAAACTAGTGCTTGTTTCTTTTCTAATCAACCACACAGGTTTACAGTTGTTGTAAAGTTGTCCGTTTGGTAAAGCTTTATCGTTGCTGTACTGTCTTCTGCATTACCATGGTGGACTAGGAAGTTTACCTTTTAGTCGGAATACAGCTGAAACGTCTCAAATACTAAGAAATCTGCTATCACCACACTGCTTGAATGGTTCTTTATGTTTGACTTAGAAATCACTTGATTAAACAGTCTCCACCCAAGAACCATTTGTTTATTTTGTTCTGGAGCGTTTGATCACATCACGAGGACTTCCTCAGCAAGTCTGCTCACTCTCGTGAGCTACAAAGATACTTATCTGCTGATGGAGGCCAAGTGACAAAGCTCAAACTTCCAGGAAAAGTAGACTCTGATTACAGATTATTTTGTAATGTGCTCAAGTATTTTCAAATGAAGTATTATGAACCGTGAGCGATGGAAAGTGGTTTTAAGGAGCGCGTTTCCAAGTTTAGCTGTTCTAGCTGAGCTGTGAAACTCTTTTTTCTGCATCAATGTCATGTGATGGAAAATACATGGTTTCTGCAGTTCATCGTTTTACCTTGAGCCATTCCTCGGCCTGTTCTTTGCTCTGCACAGCCAGCACCAGGGCGTCTGCCCCCTGGTGGACGATCTTCAGCTCATGCTTCTTCTTCTTGCCGTCCTTGGGGATGTGAGTGATGCTGCACCCAGACAGGCTCAGCTCCATCTGAGGGGTGTGGTCTTTGGAGGACTTGTAACACTGTAGAAACAGAGAAGGCGACGGTAACACTGGAGGACCCAAACATGATTCTGCTGTAATGTTAATGTCCTTATCTGTGGTCAAATTTCCCCTTTGCTCAGATTAGAGTGGGACTTGGTATGTTAACATGTACACGAGTGTCCCTTACCAGCAGTTTGTTATCTTTGATGACACAGAGAAGCTTGGTCCATTGGCCAAAGCGTTTCTTGCGCAGCAGGAACGCACAGATGCGGGAGTCCTTCACCAGATCCATTGACGCCTCCTCAGACGGCCACTGATGACGCATCTTCTGGCCCTTCCCATCCTCCTCTTCCTCATCGTACGACTCGTAGGAGCTGCTCATGGCGTCCGAGTCATAGTCTGAGAGGGAGATGCGAACACGCAGACTTGACTTTTATTTGCTGTTTATTACAAAACATGAAAACATTGAGAGTTTCTCCACAACAGCATGTAAATGAACACGTGACTCACTGGAGGTGATGTACTCAGGAGCTTTTCCAGGGCTTAAAGGAACCGCTTCCTCGTAGTAGCCTTCAGGCAGAGAGGAGCTGGGCAGGGGAGGCGGGCCGTTGCTTGAAGACTGCGGAGAGAAAGTTTCCACTGATTAGTCTGAAGTTGACCGACTCATTTCTCAAACATCCAGCAACACCTCCGCTGCTTTATAGTGATCACATCTGTTCTGACTTTAACATCTTTCAACCATTTTAGTGCTTTTACACCTCAAGCTGACACATCGACTGCTTTCATCACCCAAAAATGTTTCACAGGCAACAATTTTATATTTTCATACATAGTATTTAAGATTAAAATAGAACACATATGCAAATTTTTCTAATATATTAATACCTTATAAGAACAGACAGCACAAAGCACGGTTTCATTATTGATTATTATTGAATGGGAAACAAAGCATTGTTGGTGGAGGTAAAGACAAATTCTCAAAAATAAATCTTCAGTGAACGACATAGATGATCATTTATCTCCCCATCATTGACTTATCACTTTATCAGGAGACAAGAAGTAATGAGCTGTATTGAACCACTTCAAAGTGGCAATATGAGGGAAACCATTTCTAACATTTTCAATTCAATTGTCACATCAAAATGGGGGCAATCACTTCGAATTTGAGACACTTTCTCTGTTTAATGCAAAATGTGAAAAGAGGAGGCTGAGAAAGAACGCTCGTAAGGAAGGAAAGAAAATAATTAGAACGTAGTGTGTGACAGAGAAAACAAGCCGGTCGCCAAGAGAAGTGTTGGTTTAAGAAATGTAACCTGAAGTCTTGTTAGAGCCATTTATTACCAACTGGACTTGAATTGAAAAGTGATTTAATAACCAAAACAAAGAGGCAAAGCTGAGAAAAACAATTCATTTGTGACTCAGGGAAGCTACAGAACGGAGTTGGTGTTATTGCACGATGAATAATTAGGCCTTGAGTGGTTTGAAGAGATTTCCACAGTCTTACAGCGCAGATCTCATGACAGGAACAGAGAGGGCAGGAGGTGAAATTAGACCTTTTTTTTTGGACCCAGATGTTGGAGCAGAGGATCAACTGCACAGCCTGACATGATCCAGCTTGGCTGGCGGCTGCATCCCATATTTCCAACTCTTAGAAACAACAGAAGTGTCACTGTGGACTTCAGATCTGATAATCTTGTAACATACACTATATACATCACTGTATCACAGTAGAAAAATGTATGCCAAGTCTACGGAGTTTTCCTTTCCTAAGGCAAAATGGATGCAACCTACCGAATATCACATGAAATATAAAAACATGTGCAAAAAAGTCACATTCATTGTAAGGGGGTGGTCGGTCTAGTCCACTATTGTGTGTGCTATAGCTGTGTAATGGCTCTGTCGTCCAGGTATGTGTAACAAAGGGAATATCATATAGAAAGTGTAGGTGTCACATTCTCTTACCGGCTGAGGGATGTTCTGAATGCACAGGACAGTTTTTTGGGGTACAGTTGGTTTCGTGTTTTGATTTCAGAATTTAACAGTTTTCTAATTGTTCCTCAAAGACGTGACACTAAAAAATATTTTTTCTTGGGATAAAGCAATATTCTATATTTTTCTTAATGTGCGTTTTCAAAATGACCTCTCTGAAAAAAGGGCTATATAGTGTTTGTATTTGATTTGTGTTGTGATGTTTCAGTCAAAGGGCTGTTCATAAAAAGAAAAAACAGACAATGTGTTTAAATCATTGCTCACAGGACACCAGAGGAGTAGAGCACGGATTAATAAATCTGGAGCCTCGTGCTAATAGGTAGACTATACACGCCGCCAGTACCAGACAACCTCAACGAGCATAAAAGTTGTGAAGCTGAAGGCCACACTTCTAGTCTTCTGAAAGCCCCTTCCCCCTAACTGAGCAGCCACAATGGCTAAAAACGTTTTTCTTTCAATGGAAAAAATACTCTTTTTCTTCTGATTTTATTTATTGGTGGCAGGCCAGATTGTTCCGCTGGTGGGCCGGTTACAAATGGGAGAAACCCCTATAACTGTTAGGAAACTCTATGTGCTATGGGCCATTGGTTACAGCTGACCCAATCAGGCGTCAGTGCTGCAGTGATGCCATCACCCACTTCTGTGGCAACGTGGGACATTCATTAAAACATCTGGCTGACGCACAGCCTGCATGTCTGACAGAAAGTATGCGTCACTGTGCCGTGACAGCGGACAACAGTCCACCATTATTCGGCTGTATTGAAAGGAAACTACTGGATTTTATTGTAATAATCAAATTGTGGAATCACAAGAATGCCAAGAACAATATGTGAGAGAAATTACACTTGTCACCTTTATTAGGACAACTTTTGATTTTCTTATTGGTAGGTCCTTTTTCAGAAGTTGTTTATTTTTTCATTAGATGAATGAGACATAACATGTGTCTCAGTTAGCTGTGGGTGTTCAGCTGAAACGTCTCATATGACAGTGTGCCGGGAAATGAGGGTAGTCTGTTAGTGTACAGTCATAAGTATATACAACTGATACCTTACACCACCTCTGTGTAAATAATAAATCAAATGTTGATTCAGGGAACAGCATGGCAATTCTGGACTCACAAAAAAAGGGAATTGGGATACTGAGGTGAATCTTAAAATAAATAATAAATGAAATACTGTGCCATTGATTTTAAGAGAAGAAATTCAGGAAGCACATCATTTTGCTGTTTGAATACGAGTAAAACACTTTCTTCTGTACAATGTGGCACAAGCATTGCATCTTGCCAGGTAATAGCTCTGCGGCATCAGGATCAATCTCCATCACGAGGTTGAGCTCAGCATGTGCAGAGGGACATGACAGAGGGTATAAAAGCTGAGGTGCCCCTCCGTGCGGTATTAATGGAATCATCAATTTCAAATTAAAGCTAGCTAGACCAGACTTCACTTTGAAAAGATGCAACTAATATGTCCCACCCGCTCCCATCAACCCTCAAGCTATGCACGCAAAACACAAAATGTGCACGTCCTGAAAACTGCATGAAGCAGACTTTTACCATTGTCTCTGCTTCAGTGGTGTAAGTTTCTGTGGTTGAAGACTTAAACGGCAAAAGGGGTCAGTTAATGACATAGGAACACTCGTTCTTTCAAACACAATGGTCATCATCACCTCCCACTTCCATTATCTTGTTCCCTGTGTTCAGTGAACAAAAAACATCCAAGTCAATGACTCATTTAACATCCAGCCTTTCCAACTGTGCTTTTCTTCAAACAGGACACAGCCTAAATGATTTTCTGAGGCAGTCTTTGTTCACAACGCAAAGATTAGTTTCTTCTTCTTCTGTCTTTTGTCTCAGTCAAAGCGCCCCATCCCCTTATTAATCCCCCCCTTCATCCCGCCTGTTTCTCTTTTCTCATCTCTAAGTCAAGTGCTGGGGCCAGGCCACTGAGCAGGAACCTTATCGCATCTCCTTTGGGGGAAAACAGCATTTCGGTGAACTCATTTCTTGGCAGGGATACGCTACCCCAGTTAAAACCCTGCGCCGCCAGAGTTCTCCTCCCTAAACCAGCCACCTCCCCCCAAAAAAAGAAATCCCCTGGAGAGGAAGACAGAAGGAAAGAAAGGCAGCGAAATGAAATGAACAAGCACTCGATAATCAAACAATAGGGCAAACTATTAGGTTAAAGAATAGGATGAAAAATTGCACTCGTTTGTGTCGATGGAGGCAGATTGTTGATATGAAGTCTCAAGCTTCATATCTCACATCACAACGTCTTCCTTTAGGAAACCTTTGCGAAACAATAATACCATTAGTAATTACGGAGAAACCGATTGTTTGGGTAAGCTTTTTTTTCCCAGAGTGCAGCAGAATATATTACACTGCACTCCAGAGAATGTGATCCCATTGCTTTGCTATGTAGTGACTCAAAGCTAAGAGGCGCATGGCTGAGGAGCCGCACACACAAGTACACACACATGCACATAAACGCACGGTCTTTTACCTATACTTCCTTTCTCCAAAACAACAGCTTGGTCGTATCCCACATGCGATCTGCGGATAAATTACAGAGGAGTGGCGAGTTCACTGCGGTCAACGTGCATAGCGTTAATCTGCTGACCGTAAACACTTAGCACACACAATGCATGGACAGCAACACAAACAGGTCCACATTTCTGCACATACTACCTCTGCTACAAATGCTCGACAGATCTCCAAAACATCCGCTCTCTATCTTATTAAGGCAGCATCCCATGCAATGCAACTCAGAATACAAACTCACCACTTAACCTTCTGAATCTGCTCAAATCAGTTTCCTTCATCTGCTTCAAATGAGATGAGATTAGATTAGAGGGAACTTGTTGTAATCATATAGATCTGCCTTATTGTCACCAACATGACAAGGATGATTTTACCATGCAGAGCAATGAGGACAAAGTAATTCTGACAGTTCTTCTGTAATTCTACTGTGCAGTCCTGCTAGACCTACTAAAAAAGCTAAAGGTTGGCTGCAAAAAATTGTGAAGAAAGAACAATAATATCTTTGAAAATGAATATTGGGATTATTAACATCTCATTGTAGAGTATATTAGCTGGTGCTCTTCGTTAAATTCGTTTAATTTGGGTGTATGGTCTGAAACCACTGGACAAGAATAAATCGATTAAATACTTTTAATTAGGATTCACAGACTGAATCCCCAGCAGCCCACCTCCACCTTAAACAGCCATGACTGCCACCCTTGGTCTTTGCGATCATTGACCTGTTGTTGGTATTTGGTATATCTGTTGTTCAACAGTCTCCTCACACTCTTCCTCCAATGGAACAGTCAGCTCCGACAAAATTCTTCTTTTCTTTCCTGTTGATCACCACATCTGGCCTCAGGATAGTGGACAGTACTACAGCTGGAAATGGAGCTTCCTTCCCAGGTCAACTCTCATCCCTAATTCTCAAATTTGGTATTTTCCAAGAGATACAGTGGTCCAGGATTGTAATGAGTTCTGCAACTTTCTATTGGTTGAAAAAGTTTGGTGTAAAATGTAAAACTGGCCCTGCTGAAAATGTTTTTACTCGGGACAACTAATTGAATAGATGGAAGAACACCTAACTGTGCATTGTTACTGTTTGCTTAATTACT